GACACACAGAGAACGTGTATTCCAAAATGCAAAAAAAAAATGATGAGAATCCATTAAATGTTTTTTTAAATCTTAATAATTGTATTTCAGTATGTTTCCTTTGTAATCCTATATATTTTATTTTATGTATTTAAAAATACTATTTTGAAAAGAGGTCCATAGATTTCACCAAGCAGCCAAAGGAGGTCTGTGACACAGAGAAAAGTGAATAATCCCTGTATTAAATAACCCCAAGCCCCCTACTCAGGATCACTTGGGTTGAGGTCCTACCACAGGCTACTGACACATCCTATGTATTTTATGACCACTAAGTAAAAATCACTTACCCTTGTTGATGTCACCAGTGGCTGGTGGTGACTTGTTAGGGAGTGGTCTCTTTGAGGAAAGACCCTATGGTGCAGAACAGTTATTATTCTCACCAATAGCCTCCTTCACTGTTGAATTCATAGGTCTAAACCACAAATATGTAAACATATGTATGCTCAAAGCACTCTCCTAGACACAGTAGATGTAAAGCTTGCCTTCACCGTCAGGTTGAAATAGTCATTCTCATTGCCTTCTCATTTTTAACCTTTCTCTTACTTTCATATTAAGTTTTATTTTGGCTCTAATGAGTCCATGATCTGACTATTTGTAAACAGCTCTTGCTGAAGTGACTCCCATTCCAGTAATCAATTGTTTTTCTGTCTCTTAAACTATGACCTTGAGGAAGGTCTCCAGGATGTTGAGTGGTCCCTCTTTGGAGGATTTATCGGAGAACATAGGTGAAAATTGCCCAGAGTGAGAAGACGTGATGGGGTTGTGGTCTGCGCTGTTGTACCTGAGAGAGATGAGATCACAGATCCTTTGAAGAAGGAGCATTTCATGACTTAACCAGTAATGCATTATAATAAGTAACATTTTCCTTCCTCTGGCTAAATTGAACGGAAGGATTTTTTTTTTAGCAGCTTGACTTAAAGATGCTTCTCCTTAGATGCCAGATTCTTTTCTTGATGGTGCATAACAATGTAGGAACCCCATGACAGTGTTTAATAGGTTAGCTTTCCCATGATGCCAGCCTGAGGTTTGACCAATTATTTTTTAATCTAGAGTATTTGTAATGTGCCATCTCCTGGCTCATTAGTAATAGAGGAGAGCCAAGTCAGCAGTTTGGTGAATTGATGTGGAAGGCCAACAGTCATGTGGAATCTTAGAGAAAAGAGCTATGAGACTACAGTGCATATGAGCTTTGAGTGCTGAAGGACACTAACTAGAAATTGGAAGCCTCCTCTTCTTTTTATTCCCTGTTTCTTCAAAACTAAATATTCTTTGAGAATTCGAACTATTTTTGATCATGGACTAGTCCAGTCAATGATAGGAATCCAAGTGATGCTTTGAGTCATTGGTTGCTTGTATTATTGGTAGTGTTTTCTTTTTATTGGAAGAAATTCTCTGAATGTCATCCTGTTATCATTTATTTGGTGGCACAGAGTTTTATATCTTCAAGGAGCACTGGCTCTGGAGTCAGAAGACTCTCATCTTTGACATTGCTTTGGGCAGGTCATTTAACCTCCTGGACCTCAGCTGTAAAATGGAGTTAGAAGTTGGTCTAGACTCTAGATGGTCTTTATAATCTAGATTTGTACAGTGAATTTCTGGTGGCATGGTAATTTAACAAAGGTATTTTATTGTCCATTTTATTTTTAGCTTTGTTTAGTTTGAAACATGGAATAATGATTATCTTTCGTGTCAGATTTCTATTTCTTGATTGTGTGTGCATGGAGATGATGTATGGAGAAGGAATGAAGGAGTGGGATATAGATAGAGACCCTGGGAAGAGAAAAGGAGTCACTGGCATTAGCTTTTAGAAAGAAGGAAGACATCCCATTCAGTTACAGGGAAAATTAGATTTGTTCCAGTTAGACATTTTGATATCATAGATAGGTGTAGGTATAGAGATGCCTTTATTCCATCATCCCAGAGATTAATTCTAAGCTCATTAACTGTGGTGGCTAAATATTAATTGTGAGCTTAAACTTTATCAGTGTTTAGTCTGTTACATGCAATTATTACTTTACATGTATGTCAATATACTTTTACATATATATATATAAAATTTATCTTCACTTAAGTATAGCTTGTATACTAGAGTAACTGGAACTTTTCACATCTGTGTTGTTTAATCATGTCCTACTTTTCATGACCATATTTGGGGTTTTCTTGGCAAAGATTACTGGAGTGTTTGCCATTTCTTTCTTCAGCTCACTTTACAAGTGAAAATTTGTAATGAAAATTTACAATTAAAAACCTGAGGCAAAGAGGATGAAGTGACTTGCCCAGGGTCACATAACTAGTAAGCCTCTGAGGCAGATTTGAATATAGGAAGCCAGGAAGCTGAGTCTGACTCCAGTCCTGGAGCTCTGTTCGCTATGGTGCCATCTAGCTGCACTCTACGTCTATAGGGTGCTCCCCAAAGCCTCAGTGAACTTTAAGCTTAAAAGAATATAGTAAGTTTTAATAAGCTTAAAATTTCACTAAGACTTTTGGGAAACCCTGTAAGATATGAAGAATTTTAGTCATTTTAGTTTACTAGCCATGTTTAAGTGCAGATGAATTTTGTATATGTATCTGTAGGAATATACATTCTTTTTGGGGCCCCATTTGCTCAGAGTGAATGTAAATACTGTTTCTCTTTTGGCCAGCAATCCTGAGGGTCTTCACCTCCAAGTTTGATTTTTTTTTTAATTATTAAGAGGGCCATCCCTTGACTTTCTTCTTAAAGAGGCCTATTCACTAAATGAGTGGGTTTTTTTTTGTTTGTTTGTTTTTTATTACTGAAAGGGCCATCCCTTGACTCTCTTCTTAAAGAGGTCTGTTGACTAAATGAGTGTCACTTCATTCAAAGTGAGAACCTGAAAAGACCTTAGCTTAAAAGGGCCAGGGTCTTCCATTGCATCCTGCACTGTCTCCAGTCATCCTGATTCTTATCTAGCCACATGGACCCAGATGGCTCTGGAGGAGAAAGTGAGGCTGGTGACTTTGCACAGCACTCCACTTACTCAAATCTAACTCAGTTGCAAGTCATGTCATCTTCTCCCAGATGTTGTGGTCCTCTTTGAGAAGGAAGGACAAACACAAAAACCTCTTAAAGACCAAGCCTTAAACCCAATTCACTCTGGACAACAATAGGTCCTTGACCAAGCACCACTTAATGGTTAATTTTTGGGCCCTCCTTGTTCAGAGTGAATGTGAATAGAAACTTTCTCTTTTGGTGAGCAGTCCTGAGGGTCTTCCTCTCCCAATTTGATTCCTTTTTTTTTTAATTAAAAGGGCTCTCCCTTGATTCATTCCTTAAAGAGGCCTATTCAGTGAATGGATGTTGCCTCACTCAAAGTGAGAACTTGAGAAGACCTTAACTTAAAAAGGCCAAGATATCCCACCAAATGGGACCATCTCCAGTGCTCTTGATCTCTAACTTGGCACTGGGCCCAGTTGCCTTTGGAAGAGAAAATGAGGCATAGCCCTCCCTCACTCATGTCAAAGTCACTTGCAAGTCATGTCATCATCTCCCTGAGGTCATGGTCCTCTTCAAGAACAAAGAAAAACACAATCTAATCACTGCGTATAAGAGAACTGATGAAGTTGAAGCTCACAGTTAAAGCTTATTAAAGCATTAATAAGTTTAAAATTTTGGGGTCTGTGTCTAAATTGCTTAATAGAGGGCTGGCATGCTTTGTGGCTTCTTATTGTGATGAGAGAAGCCATACACAGGCCGGTATGCTCAGTGTACACAGTACTCATTCTCCCAGCTTTCTGTCCCCCATACCTGGCGTGCTCTCCCATCTTATCTCCACCACCAGAATTTCTGGTCTCCTTCCGGGTTCACCTTAAAAACCACTTTCTGGATGTATGGCCTATACCACATTGTGCACCCATCTTCGGGAGGAAGGTGGGGAGGGAGGGGGAGTAAAATGTGAAACTCAAAAGTTTGTGGAAGTGATTATTGATAAATCAACATAAATTAATTAAAAAAAAAAACCAAACCACCTTCTGTAGGAAGCCTTTTCTTATTTTCTCTACCTCTACGGTTACCTTCCATCTACTCTGTATGTATCATGTATAAATTCATTTACATCTTAGATCCCTCCATTAGAATGTAAGATTTTTGAAATTAGGGACTGTTTTACCCCTCTTTGCGTTCACATCAGTTAACAGGTAGACCTAGTAAATGCTCAATAAATGCTTATTGAGTGATTCTGAGCCTCTATTCATTCATCTCAGAAAGGAAACAGAGTTGGACTAGGATAATCCCTAAGGTTGCTTCCAGCCATAAAGTCCTATGGCTCTCAGAACTTAATTTATATAATTTAAGATATGATTCATATCTATCTCTGACCCACATTTGCCCTTTTGCTCACTGCAATAAAAATCCCTGATTATAATAGACTATAAGTAGTTACTTAAATCAATTAATTTAATAAATGTAGGTAAATTAATAAATTAATTTAAGAAGTAGCCCGGTCACTGTTTTACTTAGTTATTTTTATGTGATGTGAAGAGTTGTGCATCTGATAAATTTAAATGCCTGGCTTATGAATTTATCTCATTTGTATATTTGTTTGTATAGAGCCTGTCATACATGAAATGGTTTCTATCTGTAATTAAAACTCCCTCCCCCTGCCCAGCCATCTCCATAATTATGATGAATGATTAGCAAGCCCTATTTTTTCGTGGCTGAGAAATCCAGATTCATAAAAAGAGATCCCCATGTAAGCAGAGCAATACATTGAGCAGGAAATGCAATCTTTTGATCTGGCGTGCTGCTGAAATTTCATTGTCAAATATGGCAGCTTGTAGCCCTGGATCCATCTGCCGTGTGTGAAGTTCTGACTTGTGTATTTTAGTTAAAACTGCACATTAGCAAGAAGATTGAAAACACGACTCCACTAAATACATCCATTTCGTTAAGAACCAAGTCACATATTTTATTTACTTAAACCCATCTGTGCTTATTTTCCCAGAAACATATTTGGTCTCCGGCCTGTGGATTATGCAGAGACTGAAACTATGAGATCCGTATTGTTGCTGCCCGAGGAGAGTGAAATACACAAAATTAGCCATTGCTCAGGTGTAAGTATGGATTTAATTTCTTTGAAATTTACCAACGTTTGGGTGAATACCAAGGTCATGGGGTACTTTATGAGCTTGTTAGTGACCTGTCACCCCCCCACTCATAAACACCAAAAGAAAAAAACATTGTGTACCTAGGAGAACACAGAAAAGAGGATTCTGTGTGAAACTAAATCTTTATTTCATACTTTTTTTAAAGCAATTCTGTGCATTACTTTCAAAATTGTCCTATTTGTTTGTGCCTCTCGCTGCATTTTGTTCTGTTTTGTGCATTTAAGAAAATGTTTCAGGAAGCTAGATGGCACAGTGGATAGAGCACTGGCCCTGGAATCAGGAGGACCTCTCAAGCGTTTAGTAGTGTGTGACCCTGGGCAAGTCACTTAACCCTGATTCCCCCCCCCCCTGCCAAAAAAAAAAAAAGGGAAACAAAATGTTTCAGTGGCCCTCTTTTTAAAAATCACAATTACTAAATATCCCAACCCCCTACTGCTTCCCTCCCACCCAACTAAAAACTGAAGGAAAGCCAGAAAAAACTTAGAACTCTTATAACAAAAGCATTGCCAGTCAAAATGCATAGCAAAATGCTCTGTCAAGATCATTGCATTAATTAGCATTCTTAAGTCTTTTGCAGTTGCCTTTCTTTACACTATTGTTTTCTTTACATGAATTGTTCTTGAGTTCTTTTCACTTGCTTTGTATCAATTTGTGATAATCCAGAATTCTTATAAGTCACCTCTTCATTTATTTCTTATGGGATGATAATAGTCCATGACATCCATATACCACAATTTGCTGAGCCATTCCCCAGTTGTCTAAGAGGTGACATAAGGCGACCCCTTAGATTCTAGTTGGCTTTCTTTCACTGCCTCCCTTCCTTTCTTCCCCTTTTCCTCTCCTCTTCTCCTTTCTCTTTTCTTCCTTCCTTTCTTCCTCCCTTCCTTCCCTCCTTCCCTTCCTTCTTTTATCTCTCTTTTAGAGTCAGAAAGCTTGTTTTTGCTTGTGACTCATATATTGTATTATTATATACTATATATTGTATATTATATCATTATATATTATAATGATAATAATAGAATGGTAGTGATAATAATAGCTAGCATTTATATAGGATTTTAACTTTTACAAAGCATTTTATGTAAATGTTATTTCTTTTTATCCTCACAACAACCTAAAGGGGTTATTATTATCCCCATTTTACTAATGGGGTAGTTCGGTGACTTGCCCAGGGTCACACAGCCAAGACCCCACCTTCTTCCTCTTTTGCATTGAATGTATTTTTTAAAAATTTATTTGTGTGTATATGTTTAATCCTACTTTATCCATTTCAGATAAGGGAAACTCATCTGATGCTTCCTGTGTTTCGTTACATGCTCTGATTCTGAAAAGTAGGCAGTCCCATCCCCTTCTTTCTCCTTAATCAATTGATGAATTCCTTCTTCTACCCTTCTCTTAAAATTCTCTAGAGAAAGCCGATCTATCCCCTAAGGCCTTTTTTTCTTGTTCAACTCCCTCAGAACACTTTGAAGACATTAATGTTCTAAAGGGATGTTTGCTTATTCTCCTTTTAGAATTGCACTACATCATTAGCGCTACAGCTCCTTCTAAATGTTCAAATAAATTTCTTTGTGGTTTTTCTGAACTTTGAAGTTCCAAATTCCTAATCAGTTTTGATGTTTTCACCAGAAATGCTTGAAAGTTCTTCATTCCATTGAAGATTAATTTTTCCACGATAGGATTATAATCAGCTTTGCAGAATAAATTATTTTTGGTTGTACCTTCTATATCTTTTGCTTTTGTTTATTGTATTTCAAGGTATCTTATCTGTTTTTATAGAAGCTGCTTATGTGTAATCCTAATTGTGCTCCTTTGATAATTGAACTGCTTCTTTTTGGACACTTGCAGTAGATTTTCTTAAGAGATTTGGATTTTGGCTGTGATTTTACTGGAGTTTTCCTTTTGCAGGTTCTTTTCAGGAAATGATTGGTGGATTCTGTCTTTACCTTGCCTTCTGATTCTAATAGACATGTGCAGTTTTTATTTACTATTTCTTGAAATATAGTGTCCAGGATTACAGCACTATATCACTAAGATCATATGACTAGGTGGGATTTATACCAGATATGCATGACTGGTTCAGTATTAGAGAAACTAAAAGCATAATTGACTATATCAATAACAAAAACAGCAAAAATCATAATTTTATAAATAGGTGCAAAAAGGCTTTTTGACAAAGTGCAACACTCATTCCTATTTAAAAAAAAACACTACAAAGCATAGGAATAAATGGTACTTTTCTTAAAATGATAAGTAGTATTTTATTTAAAACTAAGAGCAAGCATTAGCTGCAGTCCTAGAATCCTATCCAGTAAGATCAGGGGTGAAGGAAGGATGTTCATTTTCACCACTATTATTCAGTATTATACTAGAAATACTAGCTATAGCAATAAGACAAGAAAAATAAATTGAAGGCATAAAAATACGCAGTGAGGAAACAGAACTATCACTTTTGCAATGATATAGTAGTATACTTAGAAAACCCTAAGGAATCAACTAAAAAACTAATTGAAACAATGAACATTTTAGCAAAGTTGCAGAATATAAAACAAACCCACATAAATCATGAGCATTTCTATATCTTATCAACAAAACCCAGCTAGAAGAGATAGAAAGAGAAATTCCATTTAAAATGACTGCAGATAGCATGTAAAATACTTGGGGGAGCCTGAATGCCCAGGAGCTATATGAACACAATTACAAAGCACTTTTCAAACGAATAAAAACAGAGAAATATTAATTACTTGTGTATAGACTAAGACAATATAATAAAAATGACAATAGTACTTACATGAATTTACTTATTCAATGCCACACCAATCAGACTACCAAGGAATTATTTTATAGAGCTAGAAAAAATGACGGGATTTATCTGGAAGAATCAAAGGGCAGGAATATCAAAGGAATCAATGGGGGAAAAAAAGTGAAGGAAGGCAGCAAAGCAGTACTAGATTTTAAAACAGTCTAGTATTAGATAAAAAATAGTGATGGATCAGTGAACTAGATTAGGTACACCATTAGGTACAGCATATACAAAAGTAAATGACCACAGTAATCTAAGTGTTTGATAAACCCAAAGATCCAAGCTCTAGGAGCAAGAACTCACTATTTGACAAAAACTATTCAGATTCCTAGAAAACAGTCTGGCAAAAAACTACATATAGACCAACATCATGCACTATATACCAAGATAAAGTCAAAATAGGTCTGTGATTTTCACATATAGGGTGATAACCATAAGCAAATTGGGGGATCATGGAATGGTTTGCCTGTTAGATCTATCAACAAGGGAAGAATTTATGACCAAATAAGAGATAGAGAGGATCACAGGAAGTTAAATGGATAATTTTGATCACATGAAGTCAAAAAAGGTTCTGCACAAATAAAACCAATGCAGCTAAAATTAGAAGGAAGGCAGGAAACTGAGGAAAAGTTTTTCTGATAAAAGTTTCATTTCTCAAATATTTAAGGAACTGAGCCAAATTTATTAAAATAAGATCCATTCTTCAATTGATACATGATCAAAGGATATGGACAAGCAGTTTTCAGAAGAAGAAATCAAAGCTAACAATAGTCAAATGAAAAATGCTCTAAATCCCTATTAATTAGAGAATTACAAATTAGAACTACTCTGGGGTACCATTTCACACTCCTCAGATTGGCTAACATGACAGAAAAAGAAAGTGACAAATACTGGAGGGGATGTGGAAAAATTGGGACACTAACACACTATTAGTGGAGTTGTGAGCTGGTCTAACCATTCTGGAGAGCACTGCGTACTTTGACCCAGCAGTATAACTATTAGGTCTGTATCCCAAAGAAATCAAAGAAAAAAGAAAAGGATCTATACATACAAAAATATTTATATCAGCTCTTTTGTGGTGGTAAAGAATTAGAAATTGAAAAGATGCCCATAAATTGGGGAATGGCTGAACATGTTGGGGGTATAAGATTGTGATGAAGTACTATTATGCTATAGGAAATGATAAAGGGGATGGTTTCAGAAAAACCAAGGAAGACTTTATATGAACTGATACAAAATGAAGAAACAGAAGCAGGAGAACATTGTACCTAGTAGCAACAATGTTGTTAACAGTGATCAATTGTGAAAGACTTAGCTACTCAGATCAAGCTTTATCATCCACAACAGTTCCAAAGAACTGATGATAAAAACTGCTCTCCACTTCCAGTATGAATAGTGCAGATTGAAACTTTTTTTTCCAATTTCTTTATTTTAATTGTTTTTTTTTTGGAGGGGGGGCAGCATGGCTAAAGTGGAAATGTGTTTTGCATGGCTTAAAAAAAACAAAAAGAAATATAGTGCAGATATTTTTTCTTCTTCCTTATATCATGGTATATGGGGACTCTAATCATTTTTACACTATGTCTCCTTGTTTTGTTTTCTAGGTCAGTTTTCTGTATCAGATAGCTTGTTTTTCTTCAATGTTTTTATCTTTTGATATTGTTCCAAATTTCTTACAATTTCATGGAGTTGTTGATATATTTTAACATCTATTCTAGTTTTCAAGAAGTCTGTTTCTTTGGGAAGTTTACCCTTTTGCTTCCTAAGCCTCTCAGTCTCCTTCCAAGTCTTTCCTCCAGAGCTTTACTCTCAAGCCAGAGTTTGTCCCATCCCATTATGATGATTTGTACAATGAAAGAATTCCTCCAAATTGTTCTGAAGTAAAAGCCTTTATGGTGATACTTTTAACTCTCCTTGACACATGCTTAATTGTGAATCAAATTACACAATAATGATGTAGCACTTAGGATATACATAGAACCATTCTAGGCTCCAGATATTGATTGTTTAGACTTGAGAGAGGAATGTAAGATCGAGTGTATAAATGGTGTACTTTATTACCTTGAAACTGTATTTTCTTTTAATTTAGCTGTGCAAGGCCTTATGTTATTATCTGGAAGCATGTTAGTTGATAACTCCATCTATTCCGCATTTCTAAGCCAAGGTGCCATTTTGGAAGTCAGTTTGGAAATGTGCCCGAAAATTTACTAACCTGTTTACCTTTGATTTACAGATATCAGTCCTATACCTGTGCCCCACAAAAATAGTTTAGTTTAGCTTTTTTAAGAGAGAAAAGGACATATGTGTGCAAAATATTATGTGCAAAAGGACATATCTGCAAAAATATTTATACTAGCTCTTTTTATAATAATAAAAAACTGGAAACTTAAGGCTTCTATTCATCATTTGGGAAAATAGTTGAACTAATTATGATATATAACATGATGTGTGTGTTTGTGTATAACATAGAATACCATCTTGCTATAAGAAATGATGAAGGGGATAATTTCAGAGAAACCTAGGAAGACTTATATGAACTGATGCAGCTTGAATTGAGCAGAACCATGAGAATAAATCTAAAGTAACAATAACTTAAAATAACATTTCCCACTTCTGTGCTTCCTCTTGGGTAGTTCTCATGTCTAGAATGCCCTCCTTTTCTTTTTTTTAATCCTTTAGAATCCCTTCTCTTCTTTAGTACCCCCATCAAGTACAGCCTTATCTGTGACCAAAGGAGATGATGTATATAAAGTATCTTGAAAACCTTTTAGCACTATTAAATCATAACTATCTACTATTATTGTTGTTGTTATTGCAGAATTAGTTGCTGTTTATGTCACTAGTTTTACATTTATTTTATTTTTTTTAATTTTCCCTCTTCATAAGAAGCTTATGCTCCCTTATCTTGTGAAATATCTTTTTTTTTCTTCTTACTTGGCAAATTAGAACTTAATTTGTATTTAACATAATGTGATTTGTATGTAATTCATATAATTGAATATATTCTGAATGTCAAATAAATGAATTTTATCTTTTAAAAAAAATATTATGGCAGATGCTCATTCTTATTCTGTTAGAATGTAAGCTCCTTGATGGCAGGAACTCTCTTTTGCTATTTTTGTATCCCCAGGGCTTAGTACAGTGCCTAGCATATAAATGTTGATTCATTGATTGTTATTCAGTTTGCATCATATTTGCAGATTAGGTTCAGTGCAGATGTGCATATATTCAGGTTGCTTTCATCCTTTTTTTAATGGGGCATGTAGCCATTTGCTTTATACTCTACTATAGCCTTCCTATATTGTGGATAGTTAATATCAGCTTCCATCAGTGTCAATTTCTGTTATTTTTTTTTTACTCAAATTAAATAGCCATGATAAGAGAAATAAAGGAAGATGTTTCTGGAACTTTTATTGGTTGACCCAATTTAACAGTTTCCTGAGGTTGGGAGAAATGTTAGTGTAGGCTATATTTAGGTGTCTCTTCAACATTGCATTTCATGCAGTGAACTAATTTAGATAAAGATGAGTTATATAAATTGGGGAAGCCTCCTCTTCCATTTAGGACTATTTTTGGTGGAAATATGTATTTTATAAAACTGACACGGATGGATGTTAAACCTCTTGTCTTTTAAAATGAGCATCATTATTATCATATGTTTTATTACACATCCTCATAGGGTGTATTAATATTTGCCAGGTGCTGTAGGGTTTACTGAATTTAGGTTAGATATGATCCCATGAGCATACAGTCCAGTAAGTAGAAAAGATATCTGAACACAGATATGTTTTAATATACAAGAATGATGTTTAACAGGGATGTATTACAAGACCTCTGCTGTGAGACCTTTGCAGTGAAACCTTCAGGGAATTCATTTTAGATGGCTGGGTTTTCTAAGTATGCCAGAGGGCTAAGTGCCAGAATGTTTTCTATTATGGCGTTTTTGTTGGGTCCCTCTACACCGTACTATACACCTCTCTGTCGTTTTACAGTGTTGTGAGCTGTAGGGTCAGAGTTCATTTGAAGTTGTACAGTGATCATGCCTGGAAAAGTAGGGTAATGTATACGTCACTCATCCCCAATTAGAATGTAAGCCTTCTTGTGAGCAAGAACTATCATGATTGTTTATATTTTTAATCTCTAGAGCTTTGCATAATGCTTTTTAGCATATGGGAAGCATTTAATAAATGTTTTTTCTTTCATTCATCTTCATATTTCTACTCTGTTATATTATAAGGAAACAAATCATTAGTAAAGCAGAAACTACACATTAGTAAAGTGAAGTATTTTATTCACAGTCATACAGTTGGTACATAGCAAATCTGAGTCTCAAATAAGAGTCTTGATTCCCTAATCCTATACTCTTTGCATTAAACTTAAAATTTCTCACCAGTATTCCTTTTTCTTAGCACAGTGGCACATAATAGGCTCTTAATAAATGCTTGTTGTCTTTCCTTCCTGGGATTTTTGGTGGCTTTGGGTGGCTGAAGTTTTACTGTACGGACATAAGGTAGATTGAAAGATAAGATTGATGAATCTTAGTGCATTCACGTTTCTCAAGATAAAGTTACTGGAGAGGGTTGATGAATCCTAAAAAAAAACACAACTCATTTCAGTATAGAGAAAGCAAGATGTCCCAAGGCCTACAGAGAAATGTAAAGTAGAGTTACAGACAAAAAAGAGAACTGATTTAAAATGAACTTGAATAGGGAGATTTCTGGACTATGGGTAGAACTATAATACGAGTCAATTTGGATGGTTGAGGGAAAGTAGATGAAGTGAAGAGAAAGCTTCATGTCAAAAGGAATTAATTTCTGCCTTCTTTCTGAACATTAAATCATGTTGTTTCTTAGCATTTTTTCTGTTTTCCCTTCCCAGCCCGTGAATGCTAGCCAGCGAAGAGATAACCCCCTCATACTCCTCAGCAGTGGCCTCACTTCAGATCAGCAACAGTTGCTAAATAAGCTTGCAGCAGTTCTTAAGGCTAAAAAGTGTACTGAGTTTAATAGCGCAGGTAAGTATTTTTCTTAAGTCAGAAAGATGTTGAAATGGGAAGGTGTATTTTGAGTCTTGGATAAATCTAAATATTCTTTCCTCATTTTTATTTTTAGTCTATTTGTTGTTCACTTGATTTTCAGTTGAGTCCTACTTTTCATGACCCCATTTGGGATTTTCTTGGCAATGAAACTGGAGTGATTTGCCATTTCCTTCTCCAGTTCATTTCACAGATGAGGAAACTGAGGCAAATAGGGTTAATGGACTTGCCCAGGGTCACACAGTTAAGAAATGTCTAAGGTCAGATTTGAACTCGGGAAGATGAGTGTTCCTGACTCCAGGCCTGGCGCTCTATGCACTGTGGTGCCACCTAGCTGGTTTTAGTCCATACCTATGAATTAATTGCTCTGAAGATCTCCTGGCATGGAAACTCCACACTCATGTGGAGCAATCATTAATCTGTAACCTCGGTAGTCTTCATAGTTCTCTTAACTAAGGAGTTAAGTAACATACATGATGGTCACATAGCATATATGTGGGAGTCAAGACTTTAAAACTGGTCTTCATGACTCTCTGACTAGACCTCTCTACCCTACAGCAGACTTTTTCTCATACTCTACTTTAATAATAATGAAATACTGATATTGTGGTAGAGTTCAAAGCTTCAGGGCTTAGTATGATTTCGTTTATATTTAACTCAAAGAAAAGTAGATTTACCGTTGGCAAAGTGGCATAATTTTGTATAATTTATGTGTTTTGTTATAAACTCGGTGTTTGTTTGAAGTGAGGAGCTCAAAGTGTAGACAGTCTCCTTACCAAGGCAGATCAGTAACTTACTTGCAACTCATAATCTTAAAATGTTTCTTGGTGCATGAAGAAATTAAGTGGCTTGCCTTGGGAATCACGTGGCTTAGTATGCATCAGAGGGAGGATTTGAACCCAGTCTTCCTTGAAACTGGCCTTCTTTATACTATGCCACACTGCCCCTCTGCAGAGGGCACTAACATTTGTCATTTTAAAGAAAAGAATCCAGACTCAGGTAATATCAACATGTCCCATGAGTACAAAGAGAGAATAAACTACTTTATGCTTAAGAGTTAAAGATGTTGGTTTTGGTGCATGTCCAAGTGCAGCTTCAGTGCAGAATGTGGAATGAGAGGGGATAATGAGCTTACTTCTTGGGAAGTAGTTTATTTTGGATTGTATTTATTTTTCTCATCCTGTTTCTTTTGTATCCTAGTCACTCATATCATTGTTCCTGGCGATACAATCCAAAGAACCATGAAGTGTATTCTCGGCATCATCAGTGGGTGCTGGATCCTAAAATTTGATTGTAAGTGTTGCCTTTGGTGGAGTTACATACTGAAATGTAGTCGACTTATATTTCATTTTCCACAATATATGATCTGTGGTGTGTTAGGTTGATTAGCCACTTGATTTTTCATACTTAGGGTCACTACTTAGAGGGATTTCTCAAAAAATTCTAAATGCAGTTATTTAGGCAGAGGGAGATATACTTCATAGAGCTAGCCCAGGGATCGCTTCCTCCTTCAAACTTTGGTTTCACTGTCTCTGCCATTCGTTTTGGCATCTTGCATATGGTGTTTCTTACATATAATATTACTTCTGCAGTCTCCAGTCCTTTGCTCTGGCTGTTTTACCTGTCTTGAATGTCCTCCCACCTTGCCTCCACCACTTAGAGTCCTTTTCTTCTTTCAAGACTTAGCTCAGCTATTACCTTCTACCTACCCTGTATGTGTACTTAACCCTGTTTGCCTCGGTTTAGTCATCTGTAAAGTGAGCAGGAGAAGGAAATGGCAAGCTACTCTACTATCTTTGCTGCCAAGAAAACCCCAAATGGAGTCCCGAAGAGTCAGACATGACCGAAAAATGGCTGAACAACAAATAGACAAAAAATAAGGAAAGAGTATTTAGATTTATTTTTGTGATGAGTCCTTCGTTAAAATGCAAGCTCCTTGAGGTCAGGTACTGTTCTTGCCTTTCCTTGTATGTCCAGGGCTTAGCACCACAGTACACATTTGAAGACTTGATTAAAAAAAAAAAAGCTGACTGGCTGATTGATTAATTGAATTATTTAATTTCAAATAAAGTAGGTAAGCTAGTATCTTAATATTGGGACTCAGCAACTAAGCACTTGGATAAAGACTAATCTTTTATCCAAATGGTAATCTAAATGATCTTATCTAATAAGATTTTAAAGACATATTTTGTATATTATATACTGTATCATATTATATGTGTGTGTGTACACACACGCACACACACACACATTTTGATCCAGACTTGTGATTTCATTGGTATGTGGAACTCCCACTATAGAAATTCCCTCCACAGATGAGATGTGTTGATATTTGTCATTTAGAATCCTAGAGAGTTTCCTGGGGAACTAATGAGGACCATCAGGCCTTCTGTCAGAGGCAGGATTTGACCCAGTTTTCAAGCCAAGTTTTTCTGACTCCTAGGCCTGCCTCTGTCTGCTATACTATGCTACCTCTCAAAGCAGTGATTATTATCACTAATCATGCTATTTAGCCTCATAAAACCTAAAATACATTTTAAAGATAGCTAATGATCTTTTTTTACACCATCTGTCAATGAAATAACAATAATAAGCACATTTCTATAGAACCCACTGTTTGGTAGGCACTGTACTAATTAAATGCTTTGCAAATATTATCTCATTTGATCTTCACAGCAACCCTGGAGGGAAGTGGGTCAGCTGCTGTTGTTTTCCCCATTTTACAGATGAGGAAACTGAGGCAAGCAGTTTCACTTTCTCAAGGTTCCACCAGTAGTAAAAATGTCTGAATTCAAATTTGAACTCAGGCCCTCCTCTGTCCACCCCAGCACTCTGTGTACTGTGGTGCCCCCTACTGCCTCAATAAAGCAGTGAAATGGAACAGATTTATTAAGATGCTTGAGAGAGTGCTAAGTCAGGAAATTTGAGTTCCCATCCCTGCTCTGCCACTTGCTTCTTGTATAACTTCAGACAAATCTCTTCCTTTCTATGGGCTTCAGTCAAGTGTCCTAAGCACCATACTAACACAAGGCATACAAAGAAAAAGCAGAAACAACCCCTGCCCTCAAGGAACTTATGTTTTAGTGGAGAAGACCACATGTACACACAGCTACCCATAGAGCTGATGGGAGGTAAGCTTCCAGGGGAAGGTTCTAGCACTGGGGAGGATCAGGAAGGGCCTCTTAAGGTAGCATTTAAGCTGAGATTTGAAGGAAGGCAGGGATTACAAAAAGAGGAAGTAAGAAGGGAAGAGAACCTTCTATTATTCCTGTTTTACACATAAGAGAAAAGAGGTTAAGTGATTTGCTTTTGGTCACACAGCAAATAAATGTCTGAGGCAGGATTTGAACTCAGAACTTCTGACTCTCTATCCAGTACTCTGTTCTCTTTGTCACCTAGCTGCCTTGGTGTTTTCAGTACCACGTGTTAGGTAGCAGGGAGGCTGATGGTGTCCTTAATATAATAGAGAAATTCAGAAGAGAGGTAGATTTTGGGAGGATTTGTCCAAGGTCCCCAGAACCTGAAGATACGGGGTTCTTGCCATCAACCCAACAACAATGGTAATATTGATTGATTATGCTGGAAAAACGGAGTGGGGTAGGGTTGATGCAGTTTGGGGGTTCAGGGGTCCTGGGACCCCAAAATCACAGCATGCAGGTCCTGCATGAAAGAATTTGACCCAAGCCTTCTCTCAGCCAAAGACAAGGTTTATATAGAACATTGTCATATTGGGCAAACTCTTAAGGAGTCTGAACATGGGTAAGCAGTGGCTAGATTTTAAGAATCTAAGCATCTTAGTGTAGACCAGGTGGACCTTATATACAGAAAGACTGTGGGAGGGACCTAGGAGTGGCCAGTAAACTGGGGTGAACAGAACTCCTGGGAACTGGACCTCGTGGCCCAAGGGAGAATGGAGCCAAGCTAGTATTAAGGGTGGAAAATGACCAGGGGCCCTAAGGAAGTAAGACAATGGAGGGGAGATTGGGTGTAGCCACAGTGAAAGGCCAGTTGATGGGATTATAGCCTCAGGTGAATGTCAGAGATTTGGCCATGTGGGAAAGTCCAGGGTTTTTCCTTTCTGGAGCCCAGATCCCAACCACATCAGGGTTGGAGGAATCAGAGACTACATTCACAGTGGCAAGAAGTTCATGAGAAAGATGCTGCTTGGATGTTATGGTCCCTTGAAGCATGTAGCCAGTCAGTTTCTTGTATATGCAATTCTGTTCTCAACAGCATTGAAGTCCTTGTAACTCAAACTATTAGGAAAGCTAAAGCACCCTGAACTCATCAAAGGACATGGTGGTTGGGCTAGGTTGTCAGTCTTTTATTCTAAGTTTCATAGTGAAATAGTTATTTTTTTCCAAGCTCTCAGTTGACTAGAGACTTTTGTTTTATTTTTAACTTTGAGATTTGTTTGATTTGTTTGTGAAATACTTATTTGTACACATGCTCAACTATTGATGTGCGTATACTTTTTAAATGCAACTACTTGTCTTCCCTATTGGGAGGCTTTAGTAATAACTCATGGGGCCTGATGCAACTAAGTGGCTATAATTAACAACACCGCTCCATCTGTTCCCACCAGTCCCTGTTATTAGTCTTCTTCAGAGTCATTACAAGTTAAGGATTGTTATAACAAATAATTGGACTCATGCTGGTGGAACATTTGTCTCTGAAAAGAGTTTCACTATGTCTGTGTCTTCACACTCCCCTCTCTTATTTGCATACCTTCATGTATTTCCAGACGGAAGTCCATTTGGCCTTGATGGAAAAAATTATCACTAGAAAATCATATGTGGATTACTGGGCTCTATCTATAACTATGCCAGAAACTTTTGAACTCAGAAGTTCTGTATTCTAGCCCATTCCTCATTCATGAATCCCTTCTACAATTTCTCTGATCAATAGTCATCTCAGCTCATCTTGACTGGGGCTCTGTAGGTACAGAGAATTACTACCTCCTGAGGCGCCTTATTATGTTTTTAAGTAGCAATAATTATTGCAGATATTTTCCTTCTGTTATCCTGAATCTGTTCCCAACTGGGTCAAAGTTGAACAAAGCATTTTTCTCTTCTTCATGACTTTTCAAAATATTTAATAAGAAGAGCCGTGATTTCTCTCTGTCTCCTCACACCGCTAGTTTCCTTTTTTTTAAGTTAGAAATCTGTTGAATGCTGCTGACTTTAGCTGACCTTGCCTGATCCCAGAGCTATGAATTGCCTGAGGGTGATCTGATGAAAAGATGATCTGATGTTATCACCTCCCTACCCTTTTCTATGGACTTTCAGTTGTTATGCAAAATAACTTCTGTAGAGGCTGTGCCTCCCGTGACACTCCCTTCCTGTTGAAATGTATTTAACCCTGCTCTGCTCCTCTTGGGCCCTACAGTACTTTGTGCTGCATAATGCCCCAAATTGCAATTACCTTGCCTAGATTAAAGATCCTAGTTTTTGCTACAGTAGTCGTTTTCTTTATTTCAAATTGACACATCCTAGTCCTGGACTCCATCCTCACTGTTGCCTTAGACGTATTCCTGTTTGTCTGTTTTTTGTGAAAGATGCTGCCAAAAGTGACACTGTATTCCAGATAAGCTCTCACCAGAGCAGAGTATGGTGGGATTATAACCTGCCTTGTTTTGGACCCTACACTGATGTTATTGCAACCTAATTTGGCGTTAGCTGTTTTGGGACACATATACTAAGCGTAGAGTCTGTTAAAATCGTGATGTCCTATTCTTATGACCCATTATCTAGTTTTGGCTCAATGGTCCTTTGTTTGTATGGTATTTTTTTTAACCCAAATTTAGTTATTCAATAAGAGAAATGCAAATTTAAGCAACTCTGTAAGGTTATGTTTATACCCGGGATAAATATAATCAAAGATGGAAATAGGTCAGTGTTAGAAAAGTTATTAAAGAATAGACTGTGGATGGAGTCATGACTTGGTTCAGCCATTCTAGAAAACAGTTTGGAATTACTAGAAAAAAGTGACTAAACTCTTTGATCCCACCCCCTTTTTATATCCCAAGGAAATCAAAGATCTCTTATGCCACTATCTTCATAGGATTATGTTTTGTGGTGACAAAGGAAAACAAACAGGTGCTCATTGATTGGGAAATGGTTATGTAAATTCTGGTATATGAATGTAATGGAATGTCATTACTTTTGAAAAAGGCACATATCTGGAATTCAGACAAACGTGAGATGTATGGTGCAAAATTAACCTGATACAGAGTGAAATAAATAGAACCAGGAAAACATACAGATCAATACAACATTGTCAACTAAAAGAAC